ATTCGCCATATTTATGCAATTTTAAGATCGATCTTCTTGAGTATTTGTTCTACATAAGATGAAAGTTGTCGTTGAGGGCCGATTTCGTGGTGTTCGAGCAACGGGTGACCTCGAAGAGCGAGGGATCGGTGTAGATCGGTTCGCTCGGATCAAAACCGCTGCGTCGTCCAGTAGATAATCCCACAGCACCCTCCAGAGCGGTAGATGATGAGGCGAAACGTTGGCTGATGGCGTTGCTCATTGATCTCGAGATCGATCTAATTAAATACGACCATTTATATTAGAATTTATAGTTCTATACTACAAATTAAAATTTTATATAATCGTAGATCAAAAATTTATAGTAGCAAATATATTTATTATGTTTTTTGATAGTATTTAAGATGCTGATAGTTTAATCACTTACGAAGCTTGAAATGGTTTTTGAAGACCTGTCCTCATGAAAGAAAAGTTGTTGACTCGGCTGCTATACGGCTCATCGGAATGGCTGCTGCGGTTGCAGGTTTTGTCGAGTCTACGATTTTTCATGATCACGGAATAAACGTATTTTCTGAAATAACGAGTCACTTTAAATTTACTTAATAGATAGAAAAGATAAAAACTCTCTCTATAACTCAAGAAACTTTATTTTTGTATTTTATTAAATCATCTCTTTCAATAATGATACGTTAATCCGAAACGAATTTTTAGAGATGACATGTAATTTTTACCTGTAAACGAGCATAGACAAAAGAACGACGGACGCCAAGAGAACGACGAGGATTCCCACTGCCGTAACTAATCCGTAATATTCGTTTTGAGTTATACAAATATTTTCCGGGATCTTAGTTTGTCTTTCAACGATAGTTTCATCTTCGATGTCCATTCTCGAATCGAGAACCTATCAAAATACGGATAGCATTATTGGTCGTAGAAGAAAAACGGCATTTCATCTTATTTCTTCCGAGTACGAAATGAAAACGATCTATCTGGATACCTCTATCATTTCTCTGACATGCTCTTCCTCTTCCTCGTCCTCGTCCTCTTCGTTCTCGGACTCATCGTCCGCGATGCCGGTCGCGTTAAAAATCGTCGTCGATGCGTTCTCGGTGTCACCGTCCGTCACGGTTATCGGCGACGTTATTTCGTCTTCATCCGCTACCGTATCGTTATTTACGTCCCTTCGCCGTCTACCGAAGGACGGCTCGCTTCTACCGGTACCACCGGAGCAATACGCCGGTTGGCAGCCGTCACGGCACGTTCGCACATTCGCCTCGAACACCAGGAAATTTGATTCGGGTATTTTGAAGGCATTAAAGCGGGCCTCAAGGCTGTCGCCGTCACGAAGGCGATCCAATCCCGGAAACACGTAGTTGTC